ATAAATATATTTGGAAAACCTATATGATGAATGATATTAATATAAATGTTACAATTGATATAGTGCAGCATTAAGTTTGATTTCTGAGAATATACTTAAAAAGTTTCAAGCCCTTAAATGAAACCACAGTAAAACTTACAACATATGGAAATTGTTCCAATACTGGTGGTAGGAAAAACAAATTTTTGTTAAGCAGGCAAATAAATATTCAAAAGTTTTTATCTTACAAGTTAGATATAACTAACAATCAATCAATCATTAAATGGGAAGAGACAAGATGACAAGTGAGAGAACTATTGGTAAGGTAAGAGATTATATTTTTTTCATAAATGTTATTAAAGAACATGGAAATCCATCCCCAGATAATCTTTTACAAAAATTTTCTTTATTATTTGGAAACAAAATAGGACATTTAAAAGACTAAAGTCAGTTTAAACGTTGATTCATAAAGCAAATCTATTTTTTGTGAAGTGAGACCATTACCATTTGCATTGAAAACTAAGGTAGAAAAGGAAATTGATCATTTGGTAACTAAGATATCCTGCAGATCTCTAAATGGGCTGCACCAACAATACCTATAGCAAAAGAGAATCAGCACATCATTAAAATTCTTACATTATCTGATCACTTTAAAATTAATGACTTTAGTTGATTTTTATCCATTTCCTAGAATAGAAGCAATCTTTACTAACCTCATAGAAGAAGAAAATTTGTAATTATGTTTGGATGAGCTTTTTAAGGATATCATTATCATAAATACTAGTAAAGAACATTTCAGTTTCCAAGGTTACCTTATGAAATTAGTGGTATCAAGTGCATTTCAAGAAGTCTTAGAAAAATCTATTGGAAGAGTTTTAGGAATAATATTTATTTAGATGATATACTCATTAATGGAAAGAATGACAAAGAACACCCACAAACTTTGAGAACAGTTTTGAAAAAGGATTCTGGGATAAAACTTAATTTTTTTAAAATGTGGATTGCTTTTCTCCAGCATTTAAATATTTTTGATTTAAGATTGATAAAAAAATTCACTAAACGAATAGTAGAAGCCATACAGAAAGTTCCAGCACTCATAAATGTATCTAGTCTTAGAGCCTTCTTAGGCTTAATGTATCATTATGAAAAATTTATATCAAATCTTTGTACACTTTTATATTTGTTAAAAAAAAAAAAAAAAAAACATTATTTATGCATTATCAAAGTATATATTAAATTTATCCCTTAGTATTTTATAAAGTTCAGAAAATTTATTAATAAACAGGAAAATAAATAGAAAATTGCATAACAAAACAATCAAAATTATTAAAATGAAAAATAAACAACTTTAAGATTATTTGTCATCATTTTGTATATGCTTCGGAGAAATTTTGGGTCCTAAAAATACTCTGCACCCTTTTAATATATAATAAATTTTTTAGTATTAACATAGCTTATTAACTTTTTTTTCTTTCAGCCGGTTTAAGAAGATGTGCTTTAGGAGGAACAGTTGGTTTTGGTCTAGCAGCAATTTTTTGTTTTTGGACAAGTAGAGATCGACTAAGGCAAATACTTCAAACACAACCAGCCTAGATGAAAATAAGAAAATGTGTAGTATATAAATAATATAGAATGGATCCATTAGAACTATAAAATTCCATCTGCTGTGTATGTGGCCATTACCATTATATTACACAGCCAGTTATAGTTTGTATTTTGTTAATAAAATTGGAAAATTTTAGTTATGTAGATTTGTGATCTCTCTGAATTAATGCAATCAAAAACATGTTTCAATGGAAACATTCATATAAATACTTTTATTTCCATGGTTAATGTAAAATTATAAATTGTATTTTTTGTTAATTTTGTTAATTAAAATATTCAATTATTACTAAAAAAAATTAGTGCTTTTTTCCCCCCCACACATTATTAAATTTGCTGTTCATATTACGATCAAAACCCAGAGTAATCCAAGAGCATACACAGGTTTACTCAAAATTGATGTGCAAATTTGTTTTTATTAAATTTCAAACACGATTTTTATCGACACATTTTTACTAAACAAGATTACATTCACCAAGTGATATCTGATGTTATTTCACATCCTGCTTTTAAAAAAATTGGAAATAAATTAGTGGTAATTTTTATAAACACAATAGTTACACTGTTTTATATAGTCTTAATAATCTGTAGATTACAGATCGTTAACAATAATTTTATATCATTGTGGAAAATACACATAGAAAGCAAAAGCACTGCACAGTAAATAATGATAATACTGTGTATAAACAAAACAATTACAAAAATGATGTAAATATGAAAAAGAGCAACATCAATTTCAAATATAATAAAAAAACAATACACATTAACTGTTAATTGTGAAAATTTTTAAAAATACTATGAAATTTTTGTTTAAAGAAATATCCAAGTTTATGAACTACTAAAGTTTCATTATTTTCATCACTTAATATTTCAAAATTATGACAAAATATATTAATATGTCTCTTTTTTTTAATAAAAGTTCTAAGTTATACCCCTTTTTTGCTGTTTTTTTTTGTACTCCTATTTATAAATAAATTTTTGGTAAACTTGAAACTTATGGAAAACTCTCAGAATTATCATAAAACTTTTTAAGATAACAACATTCCTTCTTTACTGATTATTTATTATCCAATTCTTTACTTTTTTGATTTAGATGTATCATTTAAAATGCTACATATTTACAGATAATTTTACACATTGAAATATTGAATACTTGGGCAGAAAAAGAAAATCTGTATAAAAGTACAGTAGCACATTTTTTTAAGTACTTGCAGTGCTTTATTCGTACTTGTGTTTTCATTGGGCCTCAGATTTTAATTTTATATCAATTTTGAATGAAATAGATAACCGAGCTAGCTATGAGGTACCTATTTTTAGAAGAGTTAGAAAATGCCATTCGATATAATTGTGCAATTAGCAAGCTCTTCATTTTATGGGCATTTTTGTCCTAACAATCCATACCAGAAGGTGGTGAAGGGGATAAAGGAGAAGGTGGTGGTTTAGGAGGTGGTGCATTTGGCTTGATAAATCTTTCTGTGACCTGAGGTTTTCCTTTATAAGTTCCTAATAGGCCCTAACAAAAGAAATGAAAAATGATATATTTATAGATTAATTTATACTTTCTATGTGAATAAATATACTCACTGTGAAGGAAATGCTTTGGTTGGAAGGTGGTGAATCATTTGGCAATGAGCCAGATATTGGAAGAGGTTGGTTACAATATGAACAGCGACTTATTGGACTGGATGGACTGAAAGTTTCTCTATAGCTGTTATGGGCGAATCCTGAAAGAAATTACAGTGGAATGTTAAAGTATTCTCTCTAGCAGTTTTATTAATGAGAAATTAGCAATTTCAATAAAAATTATTCTGAAAAATAAACAAAACATTCAAATCTAACAAGAATTTTCCTAAATAAAAAGAATTAATATGAGAAATAATTTGAATTATTTTTATGTAATTATACATTCTTCTACAAAGTGTCCATAACTTATTCACGGAATAAAGAAATTTGAAAAAAATTTCCAAAAAGATATCAAAAAGCTGTTTGCTGTATTTTATTCTGTAACTCAAATGATTTAGAACAGGGCTGCTCAATTCATTTTGGAGACAGGCTATAATTTCAATTATATGTCAGCCAGTGGGCTACCTAGTGAATCATACTTGCTTACACTCATGATTCTTCTATAAATGGATAGGTATTTGAATCAAACAAAGCTTTAAGTTGCACATGTTTTAATAATACCTAATAAAAAAATACATCAATGAGACCTATGAAGAGACTTATTAGCTAATAATTTTTCAATATTTGGTGACAACAATTTAATTTTAATACACAAAAGTTGACTCAAAACTAATAGAACAAGTGTAATAAATGCTTAGGTTAGGTATTAACAGCAATGTGGCAGTGACTTAAGTCATAGCTCATTCCGCATTCGACCAATCACGTGGCGGTTGGCATTATTGCCAACTGCCTGTGACAACATCATGCACGGTGACAGCTGACCACTACTGTGAGCAGCCAAATTCAAATGCATTGGTGGGCCACTTTGTGGCCCGTGTGCCTGGGTTTGGGTAGCCTTGATTTAGAACATAATAATTGCTCAATAACTTCCAATTAGGCACTATTAGTTGTTTGGATAACATCCAGCCTGAACTGAATTTACCTCAATACATTCATAAACATTTACAGAGTTCACAGGAACAATTTGTTGAATCCAGTTTTTAACTTCCTCAAGTTGTTTACTTTTGTTGCATATACTGTTCTTTAGTAATCCCATAAAAATAAATCCAGAAGCAAGATATCAGGAGTGTCTGATAGCCATGCAATGAATGCACCTCAACCAATCCATCAGCCATTTTTGTCATAATGCTAGATGAAAACAATTTTTCAATGTTTTCACACATGTGAACAATGGTGAGCAGTGTTTGTACACATGTAGACACTAGTTATCAGTGTTTATACACATGTACACACTAGTTATTAGTGTTTATACACATGTAAACAATAGTAAAAAATGTTTTCACACATGTGAAGAAAAATTCTTTGAGGTGTAAGATAAATTGCTGTAAACCTTTTCTCAATATCTTTTCCAGTTTTTCTTATTATTGAATTTCTTAATCTGGTGAATAATTTATAGACACCCTGTAATTCATGTCTTGTTACCACTTGAAATATTTATCATTTAGGGACTAAGATGGAAATTATTAGGATGATTTTTAATTATAGTTATGAAGGAATGAGAAATAGTATATGATCAGCAGAAATGATTTTTGCAATGAATACAGTATTCTTCAATAGGTCGTTATTAAAGAGCCCTGTAATCTGTTAAAGGATTAAAGAAATATCTCTAATAAACACATTCTTTCTTTGTTTAAATAAAATTTTTCTTTCTTCATATCCTTTCTGAACATCTTATAAAGTCAGTGATTATAAAATCATTATATTAAAATGACAATGCATTTCATATCCCAAATAGACTGGTCATAATTTGGTTTTGTATGGAAACTAATAATGAAATTCTTTATACAGCATGATAATATGTTTTTATTGTCTTCTGACATTTGATTCAAGTATAGATCTGATAGATCCAAATTCACTATATACTGTATAATGATTCAATCCAGAAAAATTATTAATAATAGTGAATATTGTTACAAAATTTGTTTGATCAAAAGAACACAATTAAATTTATAAATATCAAAATTTGAACATAAACATAAATGGAAGACAAACGATTATTTATTGTGAAATTGTCACAATGTTGGGCTGCAATTTTTAATCATATATTTAATTTAAAATATATGCTCTCCACCCCAAATTAGTAGTGGCTTGCCCCTGTACATCATACTTTACCTTTAACAATAGAGTCATGCCAGTCATATATCTAACATCTTCCAGGGAAAAATTTTTGAATTCAAATACCAGATTTCTGGTTTGTATTGGAAGTTCATATATAGTTAATCGGGGCCTCCTGTCCCTCAGATTTCCATATCTGGTCTCATCTTTCATCTATCTAACTCTGTTCTTGAGATTAAGGACAGATGGATGGATGAGTGGAAATTTAAAGGTTAAACTATTCATTATATTGGGCTGCGATGTTTCCAAATTGCTGTCCAATATAATGAATAATTATACATTTTAAAAATTTCAATTTTTCAAAGATTAATTTTCTAGAATGAAGAGAAGAAATGAATTGTTTCGGACTTAAAACTTAGATACCTTCCAAAAGTACCTGCCTGTAAATAATAGGCAGGTACTTTTGGAAGGTAAATAATAGAATTAAGAATAGATGATATTAATATTATCTTCTCATAAAACCAGGGCTGTGGAGTCGTGGAGTTTAGGTGTTTTAGCTGGAGTTGGAGTCAGATGGTAAGGAAAAGCCGAAGTCGGAGTTGGTAGATTTTTACACGACTCCACAGCCCTGCATAAAACTCAAGATAAGTAATACCTATCTGCAAGAATTACTTGCTCAACTCACTAGATATTAATTAAATTATTACTTATGAAATCTTGAGAACAGTAGCAGATGGTTTAGAATTACTGAATTCAAAGTAATTCATCTACTAATTATTTCCTGTTTTTAAAACAACTACACTAATAAAATATCTTTTATTGATAAAATTTCTTTAAGAAATCTTCAGTAGCTTTCTAATGGTTTCATTTCTGTAACCAAATATTACATTGGTATTAGTTATTCTGTTTAAATATTTACATAGGATGATGACATGACAAAAAATTTATCTTTTATGTATGAATACATTAATAATTTGTCATCAAGTGATAATAATGTATACTTAATATTAATTAATAATAGACCAAATGACCTGCATCAACATCATATCTGTCATTTTGTTAAATGAAGCATTATGTATACATGTCTCATAATTAAAATTTTTAAAACTTTAGCTAGCTATATAAAGCTGTAATAGACTATTATAACTTACACTGCTTCTGAACATGTATCTATTAAAAATATTATTTTCTGTAGACTGTTGTTATTCCTTCTTATATTAGTGATTGCAATCTTAAAACTTAAGTTATGTATACAGTGAACTCCTGTATAATGTGGGAGATATGTTCTGCATTGTAGGAAATCGTGTTACAGGGACATACATTATCAGACCAATTTATGCAAGTTCATACATGCCTCTAAATTTTAACTGTTATTGTAAAGGGTCAAAGATTTCCCAAACATTTTTCCAAAATTATTGAGGAAGGCAATTATATAGCAGAACAAGTCTATAACATTGATGAATTTGCTTTGTATTGGAAAAACTGCCTGACAGAACATATATTGCAAAAGATGAGACTTTCACTTCTGGTTTCAAGGCATCAAAAGACAGGATAACTTTACTTTTGTGTTCTAATGCAGCTGGAGAACATATAACTAAGCCAATGTTAATTAATCGTACATTAAGTCCACGTGTAATGAAAAATGTAGGCAAATCAACACTTCCTGTTCACTGGAGAGCTAATAAAAAAGATTTTTAATTTTTAAACATTTTGCATGGATTACATGCAAAATGTTTAAAAATTGGTTTTATAACTAGAGGTCCAGGATTATTTACAATGAAAAAATTCTTTTTTAAACTGTTGGCTTCACTGTTCACATATAAACAACTGGTAAGTGTATATTTTCACTTTTCTAAACAAAAAATCTGAAACTATGTGAAAACGTTAAATTTATCTTACGTGTTATATGGGACTGTTTATCACATTGTATGAGTTCTAGTCACAAAATTTTTGTCGTGTTATACAAGAGTTCACTGTACANTATTATTGAATAGAGAATAGAAAAATACAGAATCTTATAAAAGTCAATTTAGGCATTATTATTTTAGACACTATATAAGCTTCACATGAACATTTCAATACAATGTAATGGCATCTGTCTGTTTTCCAACATTTACTATTATTAATTTTATATGTACTTGTAAATTACAAAGTTTTCTTATATCTTTTCATCAATTATTCCTTATCATAGGATTATTTACAATGAAAAAATTCTTTTTTAAACTATACAAACATCGATAAACCTGTAAACAACTGGTAAGTGTATATTTTCACTTTTCTAAACAAAAAATCTGAAACTATGTGAAAACGTTAAATTTATCTTACGTGTTATATGGGACTGTTTATCACATTGTATGAGTTCTAGTCACAAAATTTTTGTCGTGTTATACAAGAGTTCACTGTACATGTATACAAAATAATGTTTTTTCTTCTAAAAAAATTCTCTATTTAATAATGTTTTGCATATTTTTCAATATAAAATATTAGAGTAAAAATATGTAAATTTCAACATAATTTTTATTAAATACAGGGTGTTTATAATTAAAGTTTCACTTTGAAATGGCCATAAAATGAAAACTACTGGACAGAATGTTATCAAACTTGGCAATAGTGTACAGGATGTCATGGGATTTTATTTCCCGCAAAAAAAAAGGTTTAAAAACTTACCACCAATGGGAAATGATGCTGTCTGCAATATTGTTAAACAAAATAAGACATGAAGACATCGTTGAAAATGTTTTTAATAGGTTTAAAACACATTACAGAGCATGTTCAATGTGGTGTCCACCATTTTTGATAAGCAAGTTACATCGCATTACTGTGTTCTCAACAGTAACTCTTAGCACATACATCACTTTCTTTCTGCCATAAGCTATTGTGATTTTGCATAACCCCACAAACAGTTTCGTTTCAAAACCGATTAAAAACATTTTCAACAATGTCTTCATGTCTTATTTCATTTAACAATATTGCAGACAGCACCATTTCCCGTTGGTGGTGAGTTTTTGAACTTTTTTTTTCGCAGGAAATAAAATCCCATGACATCCTGTACACTATTACCAAGTTTGATAACATTCTGTCCAGTAGTTTTCATTTTATGGCCATTTCAAAGTGAAACTTTAATTATAAACACCCTGTATTTTAACAATAAACTTTTTTGAAAACAGAATATAAATATAAATTAAAATTAATTAACAAATGCATCTTTTTTTATTTTTATTTTAATTTAACCATTTGTTGATGTCAATTAAATCAATAATAGGACTAAAGTTATTAAACCAAATCCACAAGTTTTATGATTAAAGCATTACCTGGACTCAAAGGCCTTGAACCAGTAGTTGATGGATTATATGGAATAGGACTAGACATAGTTCTGGAACGTGGTATCACTTGACCTTGAGAAGACATCTCATTGAAATGTCTAAATTAAAGAGAATAATTTTAAAAAACAGAGATACATGAAGACAGACAGAGAATGTATTATTCAAACAAAAACTTCATATTTGATTAAGAGATTTATACATCAGGTCAGTCCATAAGTTCTTGCACATAAAAAAAAATATTGTTTTCTTGTTAAAAAAAACACCAATGTAATAGGATAATTTTTATACTAAAGTATTAAATTAAATCTTGTTGATATAATACTGTCGAAAATTGTTACCATTTCAGTTGTTTATTTTCATTAAAATAGAAAAGAGTAACTGACTAATATTAAAGACATGTTTTATACTTTTTATTTTTAAGTGGTGAGAAGACTATAAATGCAGCAAAAAATAAATAAATAAATACTGTACATAGTCAAACTATAATTAGTGTAAGGGCTATGCAGAAATGTTTTGAAAGATTAAGAAACAATAATTTTAGTGGAGGATAAGGCTCATACAGAAAAACCAATTGACTTTGATGATGATGCTCTCTCTGCACTAGTTGAAGCAAAATCATTTTTAACAGTTGATGAAATTGCAAAACACTTAAATTCATCTCATGGAACTGTTCGTAGACACATACAAGAGAATGGAAAAGTTTCAAAGCTAGGAAAAAAGGTACCATATGAACAGTCAATGACTAATCGACAGCAACATGTATGCATAATCTATAACAGGGGTGTCATGTCAATGTCAGTGGAATCATGCTTGATGTTCCAAATGCCATTGTCAAACTTCTAGGCTTACAGGATGCCAGTGCTGAATGTCTGATGTACATGTTTTCGCATTGAAAATGTCGGCCGCAACCTCACTATTACTAACACATTAAAATGGCCATAGAGCATCCTGACCTTTCCCCTAAAGAAAATATTTGTTGTAGAATTAAAAAAGTATTGAGAAAAGACCTTAAGGAAGCATGGATGATTTAAAGCAAAAAGTCAAGCAAATTTGGGATAAAATCACTCCAAATGAGTGCCAGGCTCTTATTGATACAATAAATGATCATATGAAGGATGTTAAACAAATCAAAAAAATCCAAAGTATTTTTTTGATAGAAATGGCTCTGTTCAAACTTTTTTGTTGCACATGCATTTTTTCAACTGCTTGGAAGTTTTTTAATATTGTCAACATGAAAATTTTTAATGTAAAAATATTCTGTTATGATATCAGTAAATGTTTACTAATATAAAATAATTATTACAAGTGTACAAAACTTTTGTTTGATATTATTAAAGAATTAGCTAGAGATTGATTAAAATGAAATGCTGTTCAAGGTTTTTTTGTTGGGATTGTAGTACCAGATAAAAGTTTGTTGATCACTAGAAACTCACACCTACAGATTCAATGGATGGTATTCCAAAGGAATATTATACTGGTGTAGTTTCTGATTAGCAAAGAGAAGTTGTCTTAGTTAAAAGTAAAAAATATTCTTATCTTTATTTTCACCTGGTGAAAATAAAGATATTTATTATATATGTCATTATTAATAGCTGAATGCTGCAAAGGAGGATTCATGTAACAGGCTCTTGTTGAATATTGGTCTTTAAAGGAAGATGGCCTTAGCTATCAAGCTGTAATTGATAATTACTGTCTATTTCTAACAGACTTCATGTAGAATACATATGTAGTAGTGCCGAAATGGGATGTCAAGTACATTATTATTGAATAGAGAATAGAAAAATACAGAATCTTATAAAAGTCAATTTAGGCATTATTATTTTAGACACTATATAAGCTTCACATGAACATTTAAATACAATGTAATGGCATCTGTCTGTTTTCCAACATTTACTATTATTAATTTTATATGTACTTGTAAATTACAAAGTTTTCTTATATCTTTTCATCAATTATTCCTTATCATATTTTTATTATTTATAGATTATATAACTAATATTGTTTATATAAAGAATTATTATATAAATTGCATAGAAGAAGAGAGAGGGTCACAAAAAATGCAAAATGCTGTGATTGGACTGTTAAAGACACCTAGTATTATATAAGTGTAATGTAAAATAAACTTAATAAACTAAATTTACATCTTTAAAAAATGTTAAACTTCAAAATTCACACTTTAATAAAAATTTATAATTTAACAATAGTAATAATTACTTTTGTTAAAATTATTATTGAAAACTTTGAATTTTTTTTTTCATACAGCATGGTCAATGTATAGAATACATTGTAAAATTATTGATCAAAATTAATTGGATATATAGGATTTTATTCATTTATAAAAATGTTTTAAAATATATATGAATAAAATTAAAATAATACATGTAAAAACAGATATAGGACAAAGAGTTCACTGAGTTTGGAGTTATAAGTGCTTTTTTATAACGTTGAACTCAGTGAACTCTCCTACTATACAATATTTTGCGTGAGTATCAATCTATACCAGGGCTTCTTAAACTTTTTTTATTCACAACCCCATTTATGATTGTGATTTTTTTCGCAACCTCCCCCCCCCAAAATACTGCACTAGTTGAAGCAAAA